AGCAATGGTGTCTCTCTGGAGACTAAGGTGCGCCTGATACAGGCCATGGTTTTTGCAATCACTTGTTACGCATCAGAAAGTTGGACAATGACTAGGGAGGATAGAAGGAGAATTGACTGACGTCTTTGAGCTGTGGTGCTGGAGAAGAGTACTGAATGTACCATGGACTGCCAAGAAAACAAATAGATTCATCCTAGAGAGGGTTAAACCAGGCTGCTCCTTGGAGGCAAGGATTCTGGGGCTTCGCCTGACATACATGTTGCCAGGAGGGACGGGTCCTTGGAGAGGGACAGCGCAGGAGGGGAAGACCCTCTATGAGGTGGATTGATTCAGTGACTGGGGTAATCGGGATGGGTATGTCAGAGGCAATGAGATTGGCACAGGACAGAGCAGGGTTTAGGGCTGTTGTACTTAGAGGGTCGCTATGAGTTGCAAATGACTCGATGGCACATAACAACAACAACAACAACAATATACAATAGCTCTGAAGCCTGCCCTGTCCTGACGCAGTCTCCCTGACTCTGATTCACCTACCTCTATTGCCCTATTTGCTGTATCAATCCATCTCATCCAGGGTCTTCCTCTCCTGCGCTATCCTCCTCCCTTCCAAGCATGATATCCTTCTTCAAAGATTTTGTCCCTCCTGGACACAGGCCAAAAGTATGTGAGATAGAGCTTCAAAATCCTAGCCTCCGAGGAGAGACTCAGTTTCACCCTCTCCAAGAAAGACCTATTTGTTTTCTTGGCAGTCCATGGTATGCTCACGATTCTTCTTCAGCACCATAACTCAAAGGCATCAATTCTTCTATCATCCTTAGTCATTATCCAGCTTTCTGTTGCATAGCAAGTAATTGAGAAGACCATCGCCTATATTAAGAGCACTTTAGTCTCTAGACTGACATCATTGCTTTTCAGTACTCTGGAGAGGTCCCTGACAGCAGATTTTTCCCAATGCAATTCTTCTTTTCATTTCCTGACTTACAGCTTTGTAATTGCTAATGACCTTAATCTCTTCTCCATCTATCATGGTGCGACCAATTGGCCCAGTGGGGAGAATCTTTGTCTTCTTGATGTTGAGCTTCAATCCATATTGAAGACTATAGTACTTGACTTTGTCTAGCAAGTGTTTCAGGGCTGCCTCAGTTTCAGCAAGCAGAGTTGTGTCTAAATCTATTACCAAATCTTAAAAGATTTTTTATTCTCTACATATAAAAATTTGATGGAAATAGAATAGCAGTAGAGCTGTATTTTCATGGAGAAATCCAACTACCCTATTTAAACTAGTGTATTAATTGTATAAACACATTTTCTAGGCTTTTAAACATTCAGACAAGACATTTCTCAAATGTTCACAGTTAGTGACAATTAAGCACACGCACAATTCAAAAATAGCTGTAGCAGTTACAGTAAATAAATTGTTTTCATTCTTGTCAAGAAGGGGTAAGATAGCTAAAGAGAGGGCCAATTAGTGTTTTCTGGAATATCTTCCACAGAAATCAAAACAATGTTAATAGATGTAATTTAACACTCAATGCACATGATATTTAAAAATAGTTTTGTACCCCAAAAAATCCCCTTCTTCTCCTGGAATGTGTTGATAATTGCTAATACAATTAGTAATTTCTATAAACTCACAACTTTTTTAGCTAGCCTACAACAATAAAGACACAATGCCCCATAGGTCTTGTATGTTTTCATTTTAGCTACTGTAGGGGTATCCCTGAACAGTTTCAAGTGCATCTTCCTGGCTGGCTTTGATCTGTAAAAGTGACGAAACTCTAGTGCATAAAGGTCAATAATCTCATATCATAGTTTCAAAGCAGGATGGCAGGTCTGAAATACTGAAAGAGATACAGAGAATGCCTTGAATGTTGTTTGTTGTTTAGTGCTGTCGAGCCAGTACAGCTCTTAACAACCCTAAGAGCAACACATCTGAACCCTGTCGTGTCCTGTGTCATCTTCATCATCTCTGACACGTCTGAGCCCTTTGCTGCAGTCGTTTTGTCAATTCATCTCATTGGATTGACGGCCTGTCCCTCTTTCTCCAACTCTCTACCTTTCTAATCATGATGTCCCACTCCAAGCATTAGCCTCTCCTAGCAACATGCCCAAAGTATGTAAGATGAAGCTTCGCTCTGCTTGCCGCCAAGGAGCATTCAGCTTCATTTGCTTCAAGACATATCTGTTCGTTCTTTGGGCATTCTATGGGGTATTCGGTACTCTCCAATATCACAATTCAAAGACATTAATTATTTTTTTTTACATTTTTTTAATTCATTTAATGAAAGTTTACAGAGACTTAGGGTTTCCAGTCATTCATTATTGCACTTTTCTCCCTGTCCACCCCCTCCCCATTCACTTTTCTCCTTGAAAAGAAAAAGATAAACTCTTTCATTATTAGGCAATCTCTTCTCCGCCAAGTCCACTCCACTATGCAGCCTTTACTCTCAAATTCTGTCATGACAAAAATACCCACCCACTCATATACCCTTTTTAAACAGTTCTCTCCTTCATCTGTTTCAATGCAGTATACAACATTCCTCTCCTCCTTTACTATCTTCCCTCAACCCTGATGTCAGTCCCATTTAACAATAGTGGCCAAATGCAATATTTGTCCTTTTGTGACTGAGATGTTTCATTCAGCCTAATGTCCTCCAGGGTCACCCATTTTGAATAATATTTCATGAGTTCCTTGTTTTTCAGTGCTGTGTACTATTCTATTGTGTGAATATACCACAGCTTCTCTATTCATTTGTTGGTGGGCATTTGAGTTGTTTCCAGCTCTTTGCTATTACGAACAAAGCCACAATAAACATAGGTGTGCATATATCTGCTTGGGTGGTGGTAATGGTTTCTTTGAGGTATACAACTAGTAGTCGAATTGCTGGGTCAAATGGTATTTCTGTTTGCAACTTTTTGAGAAAGTGCCATACATCCTTCTATAGTGGTTGCACCATTTCATACTCCCACCAACAGTGAATAAGGGTTCTAGTTTCTCCACAACCTCGCCAGCATTTGATATTTGCTGTTCTGTTAAATTTTGCTATTCTTACTGGGGCAAGATGATATCTCATAGATGTTTTGATTTGCATCTCTCTTAGACCTAGGAATTTTGAACATTTCTTCATGCGCTTGCTATCTGAATGTCTTCTTTGGTAAAGTGTCTGTTCATATCAATTTCTCAATTGGGTTATTTACTTTCATCTTGTTGTAGTGCTCAAGTATTTTATAAATTCTATAAATTTTATAAATTGCCCCTTGTCTGACAAAGACATTTATTCTTATGTCATCCGTATTCTCTGTCCAGCTTTCAGATGCATAGTAGGTGATTGGAAAGACTATGACCTGAATCAGATGTACTTTAAGGTTCAAAGTAACAAATGATGTTACTTTTCAGTACTTCAGAGGGGTGCCTAACAGCAGAGTTTCCCACTACTTTTCTCCTGACTGCTTGTACCAAGGGTGTTGATAGTGGGTAATACAAGTGGGAGGAAATCATTGACAGTTTCAGTGTTTTCTCCATCTATAGTGATGCTGCCTTTCTAGCTGGTGGTGAGGACTTTTGTCCTCTTGATGTTGAGATGCAATCCATATTGAAGGCCACAGTCTTTGATCGACTGCAGCAAAGCTTTGTGAGTTTTTGGTTTTTTCTGCGGCTACTTGAGGCATCCAAAGCATTTCAAATGCCTTTAATAGTCTCAGGAAAAGAAAAAGAAGAAAATCCACAAGATTCACTGCCCTTGAGTTAGAACAGACTCAGTGCTGACCTTCTGCTGAGTTTCTGGGCTTGTAACATGCCCAAGTTGTACATGAAAACAAAGATTCTCACGACAGGGCCAATTGGCAGCATCATGATGGATGATGAAGAGATTAGAATTATGGACAGCTTCAGTTGGCTTGTCTCTACAATCAACACTCTTGGTACCAGCAGCCTGGAATTAATAGATAAATTGCATTGGGAAAGTCTACTGTCAGAGACCTCTCCAAGGTACTGAAGAGCAATGATGTCAATATGGAGACTAAGGTGTGCCTGATCCAGGCCATGGTCTTTGCAATTACTTTCTATGCATGATAGAAAGGGTGATAGAAGGAGAGTTGATGCCTTTGAGCTTTGGTGCTAGAGAAGAGTGTTTAATATATCATGGACTGCAAGGAGAATAAACAAGTTCATCCTGGAGAGGGTGAAGTCAGGCTGCTCCTTGGAGGCAAGGATTCTGAGGCTCCGTCTAACATACTTTGGGCATGTTGCAAGGAGGAACCAGTCCTTGGAGAGTGGCATCATGCTTGGGAGGGTGAAGGGACAGCTCAGGAAAGGAAGACCCTCGATGAGACGGATTGATTCAGTCACTCGGGTAATGGGGATAGTCGTGTTGGAAACAGGAAGATTGGCAAGGGATAGAGTAGGATATAGGCTGTTGTACACAGGGTTGCTATGAGTCGCAGGTGACTTGATGGCACATAACAACAACAACAACAATTTGCCCAGGAGGAGGTTGTCCGTCTTTCTCCGAAGCAACACAACTGGTGGATTCTAACTGTCCAGGGGATGTGGTTTCGTGGTTAACAAGACACCTCTGTGAATGACACCACCTGTGTGGAACACAATCCACATGAACCCAGAGTTTAATAAGGCACTGAATTATGAGAACCAAGCTTTCTTTGACATTCGCACCAACCTGCTGGGCAATCCAGGTTAAGTGTGTGAACATTAATTCTACTTACATGACACACTGGAGTAAGCAGATGTTTTCTGAAAGGCCCCGTGTTCTAATGTACGTAGTTCTGCCTACGGACAATCTACTGAAGTGTGTGCATCCCATTCTGAGACCAGCAAGAGAGGATTTCTACAAACAGACTGACAGCATTCAGCCCTGACATTGGTGCGTTGAGACCTGATACCACTTTACTTGCTGGGAGTTCAGCTGAAGCTGATACACTTCGAGGTTACAGGTGTTTGGTTTTTTGTTTTTTTTTTTTTTGGTTGACCCAACATTTTTTTTTCAAGGTTTGTTTGAGTCGAGGTTTTTCTTCACTTGCCCCAGGTCCCCACTTCCTCTGCATCTCACTACCGAGCAGATGGCCTGTTGAAAGTTGTCTCCAGCCACCACATACAGTAGCAGGTTTCCAAACGTGTTCAAAGCAGCTAGCGGTCTGGAGACAATGTAGGCTTCGTGGATTTGATTCTCCACGGAGCAGCTGATGGAAAGCATGCGAGATTCAATCCGAATGACCCTCAAGATATGGAAGGGTAAAAAGCACACGTAAAACACCAGGAGCAGTAGCACCGTCAGCCGACGAGCTTTCTGTTTAAGGCAGCTGCGAGCCTGAGGTCCCTGGGTGAGGGTGTAGATGATGGTCGTATAGCAAAGGGTCACTATCACCAAAGGCAGGCAGAAGGTGGTGGCGGTCAGAATCAGATTGTACCACTTGATGGCTGTGAGGTCATCCGAGCTGCTGAGGTCCAGACAGGCGGAGCGATTGGTCCTCGTGGTGGAGGTGATCAGAAAGGTCATGGGGATGACGGCCACCAGCGAAATGACCCACACCGCCGTGCAGGCGGCCACTGCCCACCGAGTTCTGTGGATGGAAAAGCAGCTCATGGGGTGGATGATGACGAAGTAGCGGAAGATGCTGAAGCAGGTGAGGAAGAGGATGCTGCTGTACAAGTTGAAGTGGAAGCTGAAGCGGATGAACTTGCACATGAAGTCCCCAAAGACCCAGTTCTCGCCGCTGGCGTAGTAGTGGATCAGGAAGGGGAGGCTGGTCAGGTACAGGAGGTCCGTGAAGGCCAGGTTCAGCAGGATGATCGTGCTGCTTCTCCAGGGCCGCATTTTGAAAATGTAGGTGGAAATGGCCACGGCGTTCCCGGGAAAGCCCACCAGGAAGATGAGGCTGTAGATGACCGGGAGGTAGCGCATCTTGAGAGGGATTTTTTCATCGGTGCAATTTCCAAAAGCAGCTGCATAATCAGAGAAGTCAGACGCGTTTGCTAAATCATCCAGCGGTTCATTCATGGCTGCCTCCTTTCATCTTCCAGGAAAATAAGAGGGTTTGGCGTGGCAGTACAACTCAGCAGAGGAGTACCTCCCTGATGACGGGAAATGGGAAACATTAATGATATGGTAATGAAAACAATGATCGACTTTTAAATGCAAACTGCTCTCACATCCTAAATTCACCACTTCTTTCCCGTTAATCTCAAAAGAGACCCCGTGGAGAAGAGATTGAATGTCTAAGAAAATTACTGTAAGGCAAGTTACTAAAGACATCTAATAAGAATATAAAAGCTAAACTACCACGAGAATCAAAATGAAGGGTTGGAGGGAGTGGGGCGGGGGGAGCCACATGTGTCTGTGGAGAACAACTGGGCATGCTTATTTGAACTAGCCTTGGGGTGTTGTCGTTGACACGACACCAGAACCAGTTACTGTCAAGAAGATTGGATCCCAACTTATGGTGAACCCTGTGTACAGAGTAGAAATCTTGTCCATAAAGTTTTCAAGGCTGTGACTATTTAAACACAGGTCACCAAGCCTGTCTTCTGAGGTGACGGTTTGGACCAGACGCCCAGCTCTCTGCCCAGTGGTTGAGTATCTTAATCATTTTCTTCAGAATCGAGTAAGAATGTCCATCACAAGTTTAGTGATCAGCACTCTGTGGCTGTGTGGTCTCTGAACTTCACAAAATGCTGGTACAAGTGTCTCTTACTATCTCTGAGTTTTTAAAAACATTTTTAATTTTTTTTGTGTGTGTACCGTCAAATTGGATCTGACTGATACAGGAGGAGATTGCCCTTCCTTTTCCAGAAGAGCATCTGGTGGAATCGAACAGTGTACTTCTGGGATTGCAGTGCAGCTTCTTGCCACGAGGCCACCAGAGCCCCTCTCTATCTCAGTTTTATATATGAAAGAGACACAACTACGAGGAGTCCCACCACTTGCCCCAGGTAACACATGGAGTAGCGTTACCAAGATCTATGCCCGTGTGTGTCAGACCTCAGAAGCCTATGTTTGTGAGATCTAAGCCTGTGTTTGTCATAGGAAATTAGAAGAAATGGAAAGACCAAATACCAGGGGTTTGCCTTCAGACAGAGGGTAAATGCATTGCATCATTATATGTGTGGTAGATTCACTCTCCAAATATGGACTCTTCAGGTCCATTGTAATAGCTAAGTCAATTTGAGTGCAGGTATATGTGTATCTGAAAGGGGTTGATGGCACAGGAAGGGCGGCAGATTAGAACATTTTCTTTAAAACCAGGCAACTTAACCTGCTCTGTAAGATTGACAGACTCTGAGGGACCCCATAGAACAGAGGAGAAGTGTTTATATGTTTCTAGGGTTGTATTAACAGTAATGGTAGATTCTAACAGTAGGCTGTTTCATCTTTCTCCCGAAGAGAGCAAGACAGTTTGAACCAACTCAAACAGAACAATAGAAGCTCCATACAGTTGACCCTTTGGTGTATTTCTGAGACTGTAAATAGTAGGAAAACTTTGTCCAGTGCTCTCCAGAGGAGCCATGGATGGAGAACAGCTTAGGGTTAGCAGAACAGCTCCCTCCAAACCACTGACCACTAACCAGCAGTCACATGTCTTAACCTCAGCATCACCTGAGCTGCTGCAGCCAGTCTGCCCGGCTCTGTCTGACCTTAATCCCTGCTCCAGCATTTAATCTTGTGTTTTCCTCAGCAAATTCCTTAAACTCTGATACTGGAAGAGGTGAGATTTTAAGGTCTTTCTTACTCAGGAGTGCTTTTAAAATTTTTGACAATAAATATCTGCCACGAGAAAAGCATGAAAGTAATTTAAAAAAAGAATTGCTTATAATTAGTTTGTGATTTGGATGTAAATTGTTGTTGACCAAATGCATCAGCTCATATGTTTGTGATGAACCCGCTGGGTATTAATTAGGTACTTTGTCAGCTTCTGGGTCCACAAAAACGAATAAAGCACAAAGATGTCTAAGTGTCTATCACAGCCTGCTGGGGGAGCTGGCCAGGGAGAATTTCTTTAACAAAATATTTAAATTACTCTATTTCAGAAAGTATTTAATATATCAGCAATATTATTGATACATCAAAATATAATATCAAAGAAAAACTCTCTGTCCTGGGTACATTATGTTGCTGCTGTTATGGGGAACCAACCCATAGTAGGTCCTCTAGTGGGTTTTCAAAGGCAGTAAAATCGCATGGGAGGAGATTGTCCATCTTTCTCCCATGAAACAGCTGGATTCAAACTGTGGAACTTTGCATTGGTAGTGCAATTCCTTACCACTAACCTACCAGAGCTCCCTGGATACCTAATGAGTGTTCCATAAACGTTATCTTTACTATTTGTTCTAGAATAACTTCTGACTCATGGGAACGTCATGCACGTCAAAGTAGAACTGTGTCCTTGGAGACTTTCAGTCGTTGATTTCTCAGTAGTGGGTAGCCACCCTTTCTACAGAGTTGCCTCTGGCCTTACTCTGATCTCCAGGGTTTGGGTTAGCAGATGACGGCATTAACCACTATGTCATTCAGATTAGGTTGATGTTAATCTGACAAATCCTTCAACAGAAGAACACAGGGGAGATTAGGGTCCCCAACAAGGGAAACAAAAATTACCCAAAGAACAAGAAACAGTAATAATGGAAGGTCACTGGTCAATGCACAGTTAACTCGATTATAGATAGCAAAAGAATGATTTCACAGCTGGAAAAAGAAGAAAGGCATCCTAGACAAAGGGAACCGTCTAGGCAAAGTCACCGAATAATGGCTTAGCTGAGGAGGTCAAGGCCAAGTTCTAATTAGTTCAACAGAACTGTTCATTTGGGGCCCTGGGAGGTGAAGCTAGAAACAAACAAGAAAAATAACCAATAATTACATTAATAGTGTCTCTTGTGTACAAAGAACATTCTTAATGTCTTACATACATATTAGACACACATACTCCTATTTATATTGTTGCTACATGCATTGAGTTGACTACAACTCAGAGTGACCCTACAAACAGCAGTTATAAAACCAGCCCTATCCTGGGCCATCCTCAGGGCCTCTAAATTCTGCAACCCATTGTTGGGGTGACTGTGTCAACCCATCTTGTTGAGGGTCATCCTCTTTTCCTGACCCTCTCCTTTTCCCAGTATGACGTCTTTTTCCAAAATCTGAACACCACTGACAACATGCCCAAAATAATGAGAGATGAAGTTTCATCGTTCTTGTCTCGGAGCACTCAAGTGGCACTTTGTCTGCAACAGGTTTGTTTGTTCTTTGACAGCCCATAGTATATTCAGTGCTCATTGCTTAACATCACAATTCAAAACCATCTAGCCGCCTTTGATCTTTCTTCTCCATTTTCCAAATTTCAGATATATATCAATTAATTGAAAATAGCACTGCTTGGATCAGGTTCATTTTAACCTTTAAAATGACATCCTTACTTTTAGCACTTTGGCAAGGTTCTCGACAGTAAGTTTTCCCAAGTCTTTTTATTCCTTGATGTTGCTACCATGGATATTATTATGGATACAAGTAAAATAAAGTCATGGGAAAATTCAGTATTTTCTCCATATATCATGATGTTGCCTGTTGGTCCAGTGGTGAACAATTGTGGGTTGTTGGTATTGGGATGCAATCTACACTGAAGACTGTAGTCTTTGATATTCTTTAGTGTTTAAAGGGTTCTTTGTTTTCTGTAAACAAGATTGTTGATGAATCTCCCTTCCTGATACCACTTTCTTTTTCATATACTCCAGCTTCATGCATGATTTGTCCAGCTTCTTGAATCCGTTCTTACAGATTGAATATGTATGGATATAACACATCATAAATTCACCTAAACTTCACAAAGGTAGACACTGGTGGTCAAAAAAGAGTGTTTTGAGGCTGGGAAACCAGTGGTCTGCAGTAAGGAGTTGCACTGGCAACCCAGAGGTACACAGTTCTAATCCACCACCAACTGTTTCACAGGAGAAAGATGGGTGTGAGTTTATCTTTCAGTATGACTTTTTCTAGCCATTATTTGACTGTGCCATGTAGATGAGCAGGAATATGCAAACAGGGAATATTAGTATTAGATTGAAGAAAGAATAGAAGTGAGAGAGATAAGAAAAGAAGTTGGTCCCAAGTAGCAAACCGGCCTTTATTGAGTGGCCTGGGAGGGATGTCAAGGATCTGCTTGCAGAGAGAATCAGAGTGGTGTGCAGGCAGACAAAGACAGTCTCCTTTTATAGAAGCTTTCCGAGACACCCAGAGAGGTATTAGTTTGCTCCAGAATTTGGGGACAGGAGTTCTGTCAATGCATGATAAGGCCCAGGGTCTTATCAGGATCCAAGCATCTAGTTGCTATATCAGGACATGTAAAGTATGAGGTTGTTGTTGTTGTTGTTATGTGCCATCGAATCATTTGCGACTCATAGCGACCCTATGTACAACAGCCCTAAACCCTGCTCTGCTCTGTGACAATCTCACCGTCTCCACCACACCCTCCCTGATTACCCCAGTCACTGAATCAATCCATCTCATAGAGGGTCTTCTCCTCCTGCACTGTCCCTCGACCCTACCAAGCATGATGTCCCTCTCCGAGGACCTGTCCCTCCTTACAACATGCCCAAAGTATGTCAGACGAAGCCCCAGAATCCTTGCCTCCAAGGAGTAGCCTGGTTTATTTTTAACAAATAGGCCTGGGGGTTAGGCCTGGGGATTTCTGTGACATTCTTCCTTCAGTTAGTGTATCAGCAAAGGAACTGGCTATCTACCATTCAGTGGATTGACCAGTCTCAACAATCTACTTGGAGATTGGCTAATCTTGCCATTGAATTGAGCAAGCCAACAGGAGACATGTTTTCTGATGCCATTGAAGAGAAAGCAAGATAGTGTAGGACAACTTTTCTACTCCAGCTGCAACTCTGGCAGCAACATCTATGGCTGAAATGAAGACCTAATAGGAGACAGAGCCTTGGGGAGGAGAGCCAATATTGGCAGGACTGAGAACTTTGTTAGACAGCTAGGGGTGGGAAGCCAATATTGAC